CGCCTCAGAGCAGGGGGCACAGCTCCCAGGTGCTCTGGGCTGCTACAGGTGCCCAGCAAAGAAAGAGCAGAGTTAGGTCAGGAAAAGGATTCGGGAATTTGACCTAAAAAGAAGGGTTGGGAGACCTCTAGCAAACTTGTGTGTTTGTCAGTCACTCCTGAAGAATTTATTTGGAGCTTCAGCTTGACTGTGTTTCATCTCCTTTAACCACAGGTGGAAATCCCAAATATTCAAAAACAGAGGAAACATTTAGCAAAGTTGGTGCTGGACATGGACTCCTCACGAACAAGGTACAGTAGGGCAACTTTGCTTTCATCTTTGCTGCTTCGAAGGAACACTGATCACCTTTGGGTTGTGGGCAGGAGAGTATGTGACTGTGTGCATACTGACACCCCTGTGTGGCAGGCACTGGAGGTGAGAGCAGTGAGCGGAGCCACGGGCCCCACTCACAGAGGCTGTGGTCCAGTTAGAGAGAGCTGGGCAGGTGAGCAGCCGCACCAGACAATCTCAGGCAGCCGTGAGTCACATGAAGAAATGACCCGGGGGAATGCTGGGAGGGATGCTGGGTGAGGGGGCGGCAGCACCAGCTAGGGTAATACGAAGAGGGCTTTCTGAGCTGACACGTGATCTTAGACATAAATGATGGGAAGGAGGTGATCGTGCAAAGCTCTGAATCAACACTGTCCACCACGTGGGAGTAGCCAGTGCCCGGCCCTCGGGTGGGAATTAGATGGAGGTACGCAGGATGCAGGGTGCAGGCCAGAGTGGCTGGGGTAGGAGGAAAAGGGAGAGTAGTGGCATGGATGATGGTTGTGTCTGTAATGAGAGGAGAATTTCAGGTTCTGGGGACCAATTCACCTTTTCCTGAAACTGATGGTGTAGATATCTCTGTCCTGTAGCCATTCTCTAAACACCGCGGCCATTATGAGTAAAGTTCCAGGGTGCCACTCTCTCCCAGAATCCACCAGAAAAGTCCTGGTGTAGCAGGGGTGCTGCAGGCTTTACGATGCTTCGACTGTGGCTGCCACAGGTCGTGGTGGTGCGTCATTTTATTTTTTACAATGGTATGCATGTGTTTATGTAGTCTGCAAGTTGAAAGAATGCAGGGTCATGAATGTCTTATATAAAAACCTATATAAGGGTCATGAATATCTTATATAAAAACCTATAAATTAAAATTAAAAAAATATTTACTTATATAAAAACCCTGGGTGTAACATCATGACCCAAGGCACAACCAGCCGGAAGGAAGTCAGTCCTGCAGGGGTTGTCTTGGAAATGGCTGCACCCTCCCCCGAGAGGACTCTGCTTATAGTAAATAGTTAGTAAAACTTGGAGATGGCAACCTTGATAGCAGTTTTCATTTAGGAATGGATATTATTGAAATCCCCTGTGAAAATGATTTCTAATGAAGCTACCTTTGAAGCTACCTTTGGAAATAGTATATCTATAGATAATATTAAAAATATATTTAAACATGCAATTCTTTGTCCAAAAAAATGAGTACATTCAAGAATTAAATGAAGACATTTTGGATATACTCGATGGAGATTTTTGCACATATTTAAGTGATGATTCCATTGATTCAACAGATGATGCTGAAAAGGAAAATTTTGCCATTGAATTTCTTAATAGTATTACTCCTTTGGGAATGCTGTGTCATAAATTAAAATTGAAGGTGGGTCCAATCATCATGCTATTGAGAAATCTCTATAGTAAATGGGGTCTTTGTAATGGT